TATTTTGACTGGTCAATACAATGAGTGATCTGTGTAACGGAGAATGAAAATCATATCTATATTTGGACGTTTCCTCCCTGTTAATCAGTGCTTAACGTTAAAATTATGATTATTGTACTACTCTGTTAATATCGAAAGATTTTCTATGATAATCTCTTTTTTTTAATACAGTGAATTTTGTTCACACTCCAAAAAATGTAAGGTAGTTAATGGAGTGCCCCAGACTATAATAAAACATATAACCGCTTCTGGAGTACTCCGGAGTGGGTTATATGTTTTATTATTGACTGGAGTACTCCATTAACAACCCTACCAAAATGTTAAATTACGTATAATAAATACTCCGACATATATTTATTTATCATAGTATATATGTGTCAATACGTAATTATAAGTATGTACCCTAAAATGTTGGTGAACAGAATTCGTCAAGATGTATAATGAATATGAATAAAAAAAAGAAAAAGTTTGAGCACTTGAAGAATAGTAAAATTCATAAAGTTTCAAGTAAAAATGAAATAATCGACGATGGCACGCAAAACAACCATAATGCTTCAAAACACTGAACTGTCTATGAATAATCATTCTTCGCCGTCTTTACTTTTTTCTGGGATCAAGTCAATTGCCTTCTTATTGGGCAAAAGTACGTATAGCAAACTTTACATTCGCAATACTAGGAACTTTATGATATACTAGACATCGCAAGTAATTACGAACAATGGTCTGAAGTAGGTATATAAACTAAATTATAAAATGATATTTAAATTTGAAATTGTGGTCTTTCGTTTGAAATTGTCGCATTTATCGATTTTGTTTGCTACATAATTTTTTTCAAGGGAAAGATCAGTGAAAAAAATCACCTATGATTATGATCTATTTCAACATCTTCAATAATTAAAAAAAGCGCGCAAATCTGACGATTTATTACAGTATATATAACATTTTATTAAAAACTTCATTAACAAGAAATTTAAGTGATACGGATTAAACAAAGGTAAATTATAATTTTTTTTTTTAAATTTAAATCATTTACCAAATAGTACATTTATGCAGTTATACGGATACAAGAAAAAAATTCTTTTCCACAAGTATACTTGCTTGTGGGTGGCATGTATAATAAATTTTATTTCTTTTTTTATAATATACAAAAGTGTGCAACGATGTGACGCCCGCAAAAAAAAAAACCGTTTTTAATGAGCGAGAACGCGCGGAATCACTAAGGCATTGTAAATGGGTCTACGAAGTTATCAAACACCACCTTGGGTGGTAATCCAAGATTTTTTAGACAAATATAATGTATGCTGCCGTAGAATTTGTCAAAGTTTAGTTTAATTAAGATTTATTAGATCGACTACGTCGCCCACGACGATATTCCTTATACTTCCGATAACACTGCCGATGTTTATGCATTTGTCAAAGAACATGGCCGCTTTCTTCCCACCCAACGCACGGATGGAATCTCAACTTCTGATCATAACTTGGATAGTAAGAGACTACGATCAATAATGATTTTCCTTAAGGAATTAAATATCGGATATCTTTTGGCATGGAACAAAGATGGAAATGAGTAATGATTTTTCAGAGTTGAAAAATGATTTGGCTCAACCGTTTGCTGTTTGGGAATATAGAAGTCAGGAAATTGTTAAAGGATTTGCTGAAAAGTTTGGTGCAGAAAGTGTTGTGGTATGTGGATCTACTCATTAATTATGCTACATATTACATATAACTTTACTCACTAAACGCTAATATTTATTATCTATTTAGAATCACATATTGGCAAGAAAAATTAATAGGAAGTTATATAGCTGAAGTAATAAAACAAAATATTATAATATGTGACACAGAATATGATGATGTATCGACTAAAGACAAACTTGAATTCTTTATTAATACAAGGCTGACAGACTACCCTTTTATTAAATGGAGGTGCTACATTTTGTACGTGGAAATTAGCAATTCATAATTTTTAATAATGTGTAATCACTGTGAAATAGGGTTTGCGCATATTGGAAGATCAAGTATCTATATGAATGTAAGCTCTTGTCTCGCAGCATCTCTGATGCATCAGGTATACACAATGACGGGTGATGAAATTCTTGAAACTCTTTAAAACACTTAGTTTTTCTAAATTTCATTTGGTATGAATTTAATTTTATTTGAACATAATAAGTTTATACATAGAATTTGCAATTACGTACATCATGGTAGATAGGTTTCTTAAGATAACTTAAAACTACTAAAACAATGTTATCTACCAAATCTGATAAGCAGTATAGGAAATTTTGTTTTTCAGTGAAATACCTTTGTGAATCGTAATATCATCCATCAAAAAAATGATGCATGAAAAATAATGCTTAAATAATACTTATAAATTTTTTATGTTAGAATTAAGAAATTCGGTAATGGTAAGAGGAGTAAAACTGAATTTATCGTTATCAACATCATAATATACTGCATTATTAGCTATAAAAGCTTTAAAATCATCTATAAGTGGTGGGATAGGTTCGATCTTGTTTTTAAATCGGTGTTGCACATCCTTGTCTTCAATCACTTCCCATTTACAACCTTGAATGAATATAAAATGAACATTCGTCCAAGACACACATGTTTAACAAAAACAAAGAAATCAATCTTACCAGAAACTTCTTCAAATTTTTTGAGTAATTCATTAAGTGTCAGGGTTAATCCAACTCTAATAATACCATTACGTGCCTCTGGTATTTTAAGCGATTCGGCAGTATATCTTCCAGCATCAGCTAAAGAAGTGATACGCACTTTTGCATCATCATTAGCATAGAATGTTACTTTTTTATTTTTGACATCAAAACCAAAAAATTCAAGGGATTCATAAAATATTCCGTTAAATATATATGTATATTCAAGTCCACTTTTTTCCAATGCATCCCGAAGCTTATACTTGCCGGCAATAACTGGATGAGGTTCTAACCTTCATTACAATTAGTACAATAATATTTATAAACTTATCAATTAATAGAATAAATAACTAACCCTTGCGGTAACTCACTACCGAATTCTGATGGTATGAACCTCTTTACACCTGTTTCTTTGGCCGCGGTTAAAAGCATTATTTGATCATTGTAATAGTCGCCACGTATAGCACTAACAATAACATCCGTTCCTTTAATAGCTTTAATAAGATCGTTTTTGTCATCATAAACTGCATATACAATTTTTGCTCCTTTTGATTCCAATAATTTAGCTTTCTCATTGTTATTTTCTGGTTTCTTTCGAAGAACTTTCACATTATAACACCCTTGTTGTAAAAATGCATCTGCAATATGAAATCCTAAAAAACCCGTAGCCCCAGCAATTGTAACTGTGTGGAATTGTTTCTCGCTCATAATAAATTTTTAACTTCTTACAACCGTATGCTGTATTACAATTTACGTTATGATCTTTCATCAAATTGGATTATCATGCATGACGTAGTACATACTGCATATGGGGCGTTCTCAGTCAAAACGTGACTTCGTTAGGTCCGACAATTGTTACACAAAATCTAATCGTAACGTGGGATGTTATTAATTAAACGCACATTCAATATGCGGTTGATTAATGACACGATTAGATTTTATGTAACAATTGTCGGACCTCACGAAGGCACGTTTTGATTGAGAACGTCACATATTAATGTTTGACAAAAGTAGTCTTTCTCAAAGGTGGATTTTACTAATTAGGGCAACTGCGCGACGCAGTCTCGCTAGAACTAGCAATTATATATATAATGAGATGGTTTTTTGTGGGTTCTATTCGTTACGCCGACACTCACTTCGCTGACACATCGTTTCACTGACAATTAATTCATCGACAAGTTCATTTCACTGACAATTATTTCATCGACAGCCATTTCACCGACTAAGTAACTTTGGTCATTGTCGTTAAGGTCAATTAGAGTTAAAAAAAACTGGCGGTGAATTGATTGAGTGTCGGTTAAACGATGCAGATTATTTTTTGTTGAAGCAAAATAATCCAAGCTCGTTATGCATCAAACTTATCGGATCGAGACTAATGATGGGTGACGAATGACGAAATATTCGTCACTGACGAATGACGAAACCATTTCGTCAGGCAACTTCAAATTGA